CCCCCCCCCACCCTCTTCCCGGGCAGCCTCTCACCCAGGGGCAGGGCGGCGTGGGCCACGAGGGTCACGGTGCCCCGCCGCAGGTGGTATTCGACGAAGGCCACGTCCTCGCTGCCCAGCCAGCTGCCCAGCAGGTTCTGCACCGTCAGGCCGGCCAGGTGGAACTCGCTGGGCGGGAAGACGAAGCAGACGGCCAGCACCAGGTAGGCCAGCGTGAAGGTGGTCCCCGTGGTGGTCTCCATGGAGCCCCTCAAAAGCGCCGCCCGTCCCGTCCCGTCCTCCTCCTCCTCCTCCTCCGGCCGCCGCTCTCAGCCGCCGAGTCCTCCTTGCGCGCGAAGAGCTCTGGGAGTTGAAGTCCCGACCCCCCCCACCGAGTCCCTAGGCCGGCGGAAGCCCCGCCCACTTAAGCGTCGCTGGAAGGGGGACTCTGGGAGTTGAAGCCCCGCCCACTTAGGCCCCGCGCCAGGATCTCCGGGAGTTGAAGTCCCGCCTCATCCACGGAGTCCCCAGGCTGGATGATAAAGAACTCTGGGGAATCCCGCCTCCCCCACCTCCGGCAGCTCTTTCCTGCGGCCATATTTTTTTTTCGCGCGGGAACTCTGGGAGTTGAAGTCCTTCTGCCTCTTCCGCTTCCCCAGCTCCTCCTAACAGAATCAGAATCACAGACTGACAGGGTTGGAAGGATACCTCGGGGTCATCTAGTCCAACCCCCTGCTCAAGCAGGACACCTTGACAGAAGCGTAGAATGACAGCTTCCAGCTTTCTTGCAAATTTACCCCACGGAAGTTATTTGTGGCATATACTTTTCAGAATATAGCCGGGCCTCGACTTAACGACTGTTCATTTAGCAACCGTTCCAAGTTCCTCAAAACAAGGACCCGCTTTTGTGCATGACTTGTCACGCTAGCACCCCCCCTCCATATGATCAACATTGGCAGCAGACTCATCTTTACGACGGTTGCAGCGACCTGTGTGTGTGTGTCACATGTTCTCCTTTTGTGACCTCACCAGCTAAGTCCGCGGGAGATTCGCTTAACGACCATGTTCCTAACTCTTAACAAAGGCAGTAATCTCTTTTAACACTTGTCCAGCAAAGTCATCAAATTTGCTTGGAATGTCTCACTCAGTGACAGAAATGTGGATTTCAATTGTTGGCCGTAAGTTGAGGATATCATGAAAAGAAATTTCTTGCAGGAATCTCCTGGGCTCGCATATAGGGAAGCAACCCTGCTGCAGCTGGAGTTTTTTTCTTCCCCTCCGTCCACTATATCTTTATAAACCTTGGCTCTCCTCGTGGTCTCTCATCCCAAAGTATTAAAAATCTTCTTTCCAGAATTAGTTCCGCTTTGGGCCAAGTTTCAATCCTGATTTTCAACTCAGATGAGTCCTCAGCTTATAAGCATTTGATTTTGGGACCGTTCAAAGCGCCAACGGGCAGAACAAAGTGAGATATAACCAGCGTAACATCCAAATTCGGAGCTTAGCAACTGACTTGTATTTATGACAGTTGCGGCGTCACTGGGGGCGGGGGTTGGGAGGCTCATGGGATCCCCTTTTGTGATCTTCCGAGAAGCCGGAAGCCCAGATTTGCTTACCGGCCACGTTCCAAACAGAATAACAGGCAGCAATTCACTTAACAACAGTGGCAAGAAAAGGTTGTAAAATGAAGGCAAAGCTCACTTTTAACAACCGTCCGGCTTAGTGGCAGAAATTTGGAAGATTCAATGGGGGTCACAAATTGAGGGCTATACCAATAGGAGGTATATTTCTATCTGCTACTATTATTTTTCTTGCTTATTAGTTTAGTTTACATTTATTGTCCTTGCACCTCGTATAACGAAATCAAACACCATCTTCAGGGCACACCATGACCGTGAAAATAAACCCAAACACACATCCTTCACCCTCCACACATTGAACCGGAAACCCCCGACACCACACCAACACTGCACTATACAGCAGAATTCAAAAGAGCTCCTGCCCTGGGATAGACGCTGTTTTTCAGCCTATTTGTCCTTGTTTTTACTATTTTGTATCATCTGCCAGATGGTAATAGTTCAAAAAAGTGGGGGGGCGCCCAGGATGAGATGGATCTTTGAGAATGTTTTCAACTTTCTTAAGGCAGCAGGAAGTCTAAAGCTCTTCCAAAGAGGGGAGAGGGCAACCCAGGATCCTCTGGGCAATGACACAGTAAACCTTCTTGCCACAGCTCGCATCGATGTGCCATCCTGGATGAGCTGCACTACCTGAGCCATTTGTGTGGGTTGTAGACTCCATCTCACTAGAGTAAAAGCATCGCCAGCATTCAAAAGTGACCAAACCATCAGCCAGAAAGCATAGGGACTGAGAAGTTGTCTGTGGTCACCACCTGCAGAACCTCCTTTATTGGGGATGTCTTGCTACCTGCCTCTGCTTTCCACCTGTTGTCTATTCCATTTGCACAACAGCATGTGAAATTGATTGTCAATCAGTGTTGCTACCTAAGTGGACAGTTTGATTTCACAGAAGTGTGATTGACTTGGAGTTACATTGTGTTAAGTGTTCCCTTTATTTTTTTTGAGTAGTGTATACATATATAAAAGTGAAATACTGTAAGAAATAAGACAATTCAAAAATAAAATGTAGGTGAAGAGAATAGTACAGTATTATAGCATTAAGAAGACAGTTGCTCTATAGACCTTTGATGCAATCCTGCTGTAAATATATTTTCTAATGCATTTACTCATTGTTAAATATGTACCTGCAATCAATTACATCCTCCTGTATCAGGTAATGCCATCCTATTTCCTCCAGGAATTGGTACCTATCTCAAACTGTCAAGGCAATTCATACACGTTTGACATAACAAAAGACCAAAGTGATCAATTAGGAGGACAATAGGAGAAGAGATAATAAAAGATAAAACATTACTCTGACTTCCTTGGAACAATTGAAGTTAGATTTTGTTTTTCAAAGCATCTGCTTAAATTTAATCTTGGCACATTGTGATTTTAAATTTATAACCAGACTTTTACTTTGCATAGGTGAATATGTTAGAGATGCATATAATCATTAAGTTGTACTAAGATGGCTGGAGAGAAGATGTGCTGAATGTGTGTTACTGTGTGGTGTTAGGAAATAGATATTTCTTTGTTAGAAAGAGGCCCTGCTGAAGGGACATTCCTTAATGCCAAGTAAGATAAGAACAAGCCATGTTGACAAAAAATGGAAGGTCATTGGGAGGCATCAAAGGAGACGTGGTCTCCATAAGGCGTTTCAGATTATCTGTGTTCAGTCCCTGGGTCGATGTAGGAGGGGCGTGGAGGCGTCGGGAAAAAAACTATAAAATGTAATGTTTTGAAATCTTGCAGCGTGGGTCTTGGCTCGAACGTCATGTTGAGTTAAGCTAAGATCTCTAACCGCTCTTTGCAAACAGCTTTTGTTCTTCATTTTGTTTGCTTTGATTTAAGCTTGCAAATAAATTCTTTGTGTTTTCACCGATCCAAGTTTTTCTTATTTGTAGTCATTTCCAACAATACCCCACGTGCATCATCACAAAATCTCCAGAACCGTAAAGCCTACAAACTTGACATTTGGCACCTATGTTCTTCTTGGCTTCTGGGGGCTAAGCAAGGATTTTTCAAAAGGACCATCAGAGCATTTGGAGTATTTCCTGTATTATTATTATTATTATTAACACGCTCTGATGCTAAGGAGTTCTACTCCCCGTCCCCACCTGAAAAGAAATCTCTTCCAAATGCAAAACACAAGCAGAGGAGTTTCAGTTTCACAGCAGCCCCAAGCAGCTTTAGTCCAGAACAGTTGAGCTAAGCCACGCCCAGACTCCTTGCTGTCTCTTTGCTCACACAGCAAATATGGTTTCAGTTTCCAAACAGCCCTCCACTCTCTCACACGCTGACAGGATACTAGCCAGATGAATGCTGATGGATGCTAATAGGCAGAGGCAGAATTCCCACCCCCCTTATTTTCCGCCCCAAAACCTAAGCCCGACCACATGGTTTCATAGCGAAGCGTGGGTATCCAGCTAGTCTCTAATCTTTCTAATACCCTTTTTTTCAGCGGTTTTAAGAGTTAGTAAATCCAGGATGGAGCAAAGCAATTAAGTTTTCAAGAGGTTGATTTATTAATTTTAAGCATGCACGTCTCCAACACATTATTTTTCAGGGCGATGCACACACAAACATTTATTTTATTTCCTGCATTGTGATGCTGGGTACGGGGTTGTGCGGTCAGCTTCCGGAAGACGGCTTCTGCAAGGACGGAAAATCACCCTCGCTTTTAGAAGTCGGGGCGGTCTTTCTGCAACTTGCTGTAATCCATGTTGACAGAAATAAACTGGAGGGGGGGAATAAGAATTATGAAGAGAAACATTCCATTTTTACCCCAAAAAAGAAAATGTGAAAGAAATGTGGGAAAAAACATGAAAAGCCAGCTGGGAGACTTTGGGCCAATCACCAGGAGACGGGGAGTTCTAGTCCCGCCTTAGGCATGAAAAGCTGGCTGGGTGACTTTGGGCCAATCACCAGGAGATGGAGAGTTCTAGTCCCGCCTTA